CATGGAAGAAGATCCATAATAATAATAATAATAATAATAATAATAATAATAATAATAATAAGATTCTCATAATTTTGAGATTCCTGGGAATTTGAATAACACCATGTTGGGTGGTATTCAAATTACCTTAAAATGAGGGAAACTGAATCCCATGGTAATCACTTTCTTGGGAATCTAAAAATTATAATTCTTATACCAAACACGGTAATATTGTAGATTCCCATTCTCATCCTTAAGATTACTGTATACCAAACGCCCCCTTAATTTTTTGTGATTGATAAATCAGTCTCTGAACTTCTTTCTTTGGTAATTTGTCGCTTAAACTTCAAAACGATTGCACTAGTGGTTCAATTGGCAACGTCTGTAAAATTACTAACGATTTTTGTCACATGAGAATTCTATAAGCTTCTCTCAAGGGTGTTAATTGTCTTTTTATAAACAAAATAAAAATAAAAACAAAAAAAACCTCCAAACACCTTCCCCACCCACATAGTTGTACAAGCTCGGCCACAACACCCCTTTCCTTAGTAGATTTTCTTGTCACATGGCTCTTCTTTCCGTCACCAGATGTAGGCGTTGTTGCTAAATCTCAGACTCACCGCATCCCCCATATGCTAGATCTCGCTGGTGCCATGATTGCTCTTTGGAACCTTATTCGTTTGGGTTTTATATTTTTAGGTTGAGTATTGGTGTATTTTTTTGTGGTTTTGAGTTTTATTTTTTTTGAATTTTTTTTTTTTGCTTATCTTGTATTGTGATGGAAAAGAAGGAAATTACATTTGGAGCAATTCTATTTTTCTATGGTGGGTTATGGAAGAAAATTAAGTGCCCGTTTGGTTCATGCATTTAAATTAATAATTTTTAATTTTGACATTTAAAATTCAAATTTTTTGTAAGAAAAAACGCTTTAACATAATCAAAACTATAAATTTAAACACAACTAACAATCAAGCGTTAAGTTGATTTCAGGGTTCAACCTCAAGTTTATATTATTTTCATACTTTGCTTTTTTTTTCGTGGGAACAATCTTGAGGACGTTATAGATGCATGATGGGAAAATCTAGAAGGTTGCCGTTTCATTCTTTTGCAAAAGTGAGACGTAGGCCTCATTTATTTTACCGATTTGGGTTTTTAATTTCAGTTTTGCTACGGTTAAAAGTTATTGCAAAAAATTATATCTAACTTTTTTACTATAGTTAAAAGATCTCATATAAAGTCACATATCAGTTCGAATTAAAAACTCGAATTGACGAACTGAATGAGGCCGTAATTTTGGATTTTTACTAGGGATGCATAATATCATACATCGCGACTTTTTTTTTACCGTCCCTTGCAAGAGATGTATCGTCTTGAAGGGTATTTCTGTCTTTTTGGGTGTATTAATTAGAAGGAGTGGATTGATTGAAGATAGCAACAGACATATTCTTAAAGGCCCATTCGGTTCGCTAATTCGAGTTTTTAATTTGAGTTGAGATGTGATATTGTGTGAGAGCTTTTTACTGTAACAAAAAAATTAGATGTGACTGTTTCTGAGAGTTTTTTACTGTAATAAAATTTAAATTCTAAACTCGAATGAGCGAAATAAACAGACAGAAAACCCCATTCATCGTCTCTTCAAAATCCCAACAAAAGCTTTCTGTTCAAAAAAAAAAAGCCCATCACATATCCAACCCCACCTCACTTACGGCAGCGGCGAAGATGCCGACAACAACGGCGGAGGTCGAACGAGGAACGACTGAGACGTGGGCAGAACGAAGAAAGATCGCCTTGGGTTTCGAGACAAAGACGGCGGCCTTTCGGGGAGCGAATTGCCGTGGGTTTTGTGACCAGGGCGGCGTGCTTCCGGGGAGGGTGGCAATGGGTTTTGATGGAGAAAGAGATAGAGGAGGGGAGGGAGAGACTCGCGGGTGTGTTGCTAGATCCTTGGTGGCAATTGTGGCGGATCCGGGTTTGTCGTAAGCCACGGGTCAGCCCAGGAACAGCCCCGGGACAGCCTTGAGGCAGCCCCGTTACAGCCCTGATACAATCCCGATATAGCCCCGGGAGTGCCCCGGTATAGCCCTGGTACAGCCCCGGTACAGCCCTGGGACAGCCCCGGGTCAGCCCCAGGACAGCCCCGGGACAGCCCCGGTACATCCCCAGGACAGCCTCGGGACATACCCGGGAGAGCCCCGGAACAGCCCCGGTACAGCCCTGGGACAGCCCCGGGGCAGCCCTGGTACAACCCCGGGGCAGCCCGGTACAACCCCGGGAGAGCCCCGGTACAGCCCCGGTATAGCCCGGGGTAGCACCGGTACAACCCCGGTACAGCCCCGGGACAGCCCCGGTATAGCCTCGGGACAGCCCCGGTACAGCCCTGGAAAAGCCCCGAGACAGGCCCAGGACAGCCCCGGGGCAGCCGCGGTACAGCCACAGGACACCCCCTGTACAGCCCCGGGACAGCCCCGGGAAAGCCCCGGGACAGCTCCGGGGCCCAGGTACAGCCCCGGGATAGCCCCGGGTTAGCCCCGGGACAACCCCGGTACAGCCCTGGTACAGCCCCGGGTCAGCACCGGGACAGCCTTGGGACAGCCTCGGTACAGCCCCGATACATCCCAAGGACAGCCCGGGACAGCCGCGGGGCAGCCCCGGTACAGCCCCGGGACAGCCCCTGGGAAGCCCCGGTACAGCCCTGGGAAAGCCCCTGGACAGCCCCGGGACAACACTGGGGCAGCCCCGGTACAGCTCCGGTATAGCCCCGGGACAGCCCCGAGACAGCTCGGGGCAGCCCCGGTACTGCCCAGGTACAGCCCCGGATCAGCCCCGGGGCCACCCTGGTACAACCCCGGTACAGCCCCGGGACATCCCCGTTACAGCCCCGGGACATCCCCGGTACAGCCCCGGGACAGCCCCGGGGAAGCCCTGATACAGCCCCGGTACAGCACCGGGACAGCCCCGATACAGCACCGGTACAGCCCCGGGGCAGCCCCGGTACATCCCCGGGACAGCTCCGGGGCAACCCAGGTACAGCCCCGGTACTTCCCCAGGAGTGCCACGGTACAGCCCCGGGTCAGCCCCGGGACCGGCCCTGGTACAACCCCGGTACGGCCCCAGTACAGCCCCGGGTCAGCCACGGGACAGCCCCGGGTCAGGCCCGGGACAGCCCTGGGATAGCCCCGGTACAGCCACGGGAGAGCCCCGGAACAGCCCCGCAATAGCCCCGGGGCAGCCCCGGTAGAACCCCGGTACAGCCCCGGGACAGCCCCGGGGCAGCCTCGGTATAGCCCCGGTACAGCCCTGTGGTAGCCCTAGTACAGCCCTGGGGCAGCCCCGGTACAGCCCTGGGACAGCCCGAGTACAGTCCCGGGATAGCCCCCGGACAGCCTCGGTACAGTCCCGGGACAGCCCCGGGTCAGCCCCTGGACAGCCACGGTACAGCCCCAGGGCAGCCCCGAGTCAGCCTAGGGACAGCCCCGGTACAGCCCCGGGAGATCCCCGGTACAGCCCCAGGGCAGCCCCGGTACAGCCCCGGGACAGCCCCGGGGCAGCCCCGGGGCAGCCCCGGGGCAGCCCCGGGGCAGCCCCGGGGCAGCCCCGGGGCAGCCCCGGGGCAGCCCCGGGGCAGCCCCGGGGCAGCCCCGGGGCAGCCCCGGGGCAGCCCCGGGGCAGCCCCGGGGCAGCCCCGGGGCAGCCCCGGGGCAGCCCCGGGGCAGCCCCGGGGCAGCCCCGGGGCAGCCCCGGGGCAGCCCCGGGGCAGCCCCGGGGCAGCCCCGGGGCAGCCCCGGGGCAGCCCCGGGGCAGCCCCGGGGCAGCCCCGGGGCAGCCCCGGGGCAGCCCCGGGGCAGCCCCGGGGCAGCCCCGGGGCAGCCCCGGGGCAGCCCCGGGGCAGCCCCGGGGCAGCCCCGGGGCAGCCCCGGGGCAGCCCCGGGGCAGCCCCGGGGCAGCCCCGGGGCAGCCCCGGGGCAGCCCCGGGGCAGCCCCGGGGCAGCCCCGGGGCAGCCCCGGGGCAGCCCCGGGGCAGCCCCGGGGCAGCCCCGGGGCAGCCCCGGGGCAGCCCCGGGGCAGCCCCGGGGCAGCCCCGGGGCAGCCCCGGGGCAGCCCCGGGGCAGCCCCGGGGCAGCCCCGGGGCAGCCCCGGTGCAACCCTGGTACAGCCCTAGGAAAGCCCCGAGTCAGCCCCGGTTCAGCCCCGGGACAGCCCTGGGATAGCCCCGGTACAGCCCTGTGGTAGCCCTAGTACAGCCCTGGGGCAGCCCCACTACAGCCCCGGGTCGGCCCTGGGACAACCCAGTACAGCCCCTGGACAGCCCTGGTACGACCCCGGGACAGCCCCGGTACGACCCCGAGACAGCTCCGGTACAGCGCTCGGACAGCCCCGGTACAGCCCCGGTACAGCTCCGGAAAAGCCCCGGGTCAACCCCAGGACAGGCCCGAGGCAGCCCCGGTACAGCCCTAGGACAGCTCCGGTACCGCCCCAGGGCAGCCCCGGTACAGCCCCAGTATAGCCCCGAGTCTGCCCAAGGACAGCCCCGGGACAGGTACTGCCCCGGGACAGTCCCGGGACAGCTCCGGGGCAGCCCCGGCAGAGTTTCGGGACAATCCCGGTACAGCCGCGGGAGTGCCCTGGGATAGCCCCGGGACACTCCCGGTACGACCCTAGTACAGCCCCGGTACATCCCCGGAACAGCCCCAGTACAACCCCAGTACAACCCCGGGACAACCCTGGAACAGTCCCGGTACAGCCCCGTAAAATAAGAAAACCAATTCAAGTAGGTTTAGCAATTAGACTACTACCTAAAAAAAGGCAAAGAAGCAAAAGTTAAAGCCACATAACTAAAGTTGCTCTGACAAAGGACTCAAAATAGTTCAATTACCATTAACAAGAAGAACAAGAGGAATCAGGTAACTATAAAGGGGCCCAGCAGCTGTTTTTCCAATCACCATACGCGCAACCTGTGGAACGAGAGAGTGCATGAGCTTTAGCACTCTAATTCAACTCAAACTTCACGTGGATATGGAGAGAGATGGAAAGAATAATCACTACGCATGAAAATAGGAACTACCTGATTATATGAAAGTTATCATTCTTGTTATACAGAACACAATTAAATTTCAAGTACCTTCAAAATCTGAAGTAGTTGCTTCTAAATGACTACCAGAATCAACGTGTCTATTGGAGGTCTTTTGCTGCAATATCTCACCTACAGAAACAATGGATCTAAATAGAGTTAGTAGAAACAGAAATCAAAGAGTAATTACACAATTTAAATAGAAAAAAAATTCCCTGAGACTCATAATTCTTGAGCTCTATATGATAAAACGATGTAGCACCAGATAAAATCTCTGAGTTGAACAGGTTTGAAGGAACTCTTCTTTACTCTCAAAAAAGATGCAAGCAAAAATATTCAGTAGAACAAGGATAACCAATCAGCAGATCCATGGACACAGAAACCTAAAGTTGCAGTTTAAAAGAAAAATCTAATTCATACCTTAATAGCTGCTTTCAAGTCTGTGATCCCTTTGCCTCCCTAAAAACAATTACCAACAGCAATAAATGGAACGAGCAGTCCCAAAAAGTTAAAAAACCAAAATCGTTTCTTCAAAAAAGCAAGATGAAAGTCAGAAGTTACATCATATGTGCTTTGGAACGAAATATCGGCATATGCATGAAACATTATACTGCTGACCCATATGGAAATCTACAAACCATGTAAACAAGATACTTAAAAGAAAGTAAAGCAGCAAGAAGAAGAAATAAGAATCACCAAGATTATTTGACAAGTTTTGTATATCACATGATATCAAATTCTTCCAAATCTATAGTGAAAAGGGCAAGTATTTCCACTCAAAATACAACACAATTAGGAAAACTGTCATTTCATCTAATAAACAACACTTGTAAATAAAATCAATGGTTGTACAATTTGTTTAGCAGAACGTGTATAATTAATTACACACACGCACCGGTATAAGTCAAGATTCAAGAACTGACGAGAATAATGAAAGTTGTTTAATTCAAGATTTACAAACCACAATAAAACTTCAAATGGCATGAAATTTCAAGAAAAGACAGATTGGTTATAGAGCTCAAATAAATTCCCAAACTAAATTTAGGTGTGAAAGTCGCTCTAAGGACACACAATCAGACAATAATTCAAGAACGAAAGAATGTGGAAGTCATTAAATTACATACTGTCCGTGAAAAAAGTCACCGCCAAATCGTCGCACCCAATCGTTGAAATCGCCAATAGCACCTCCGCCGACAGCCTCAAGGAGACCAATCAACGGCGGCCAGAAACACACGCAACAACACACCTAGAACAAGTATTAATAAATGTCATTTTAATTAAAGCCATTATATGAACGAATCTCATATATTGGGTTAAAGTAAGTCTAAAACATATATACATTATAAACATGACACGTATTAAAAGAAAAAATAAGAAGTCGAGATAGAGGGTTTACAACGTAATTTACTTAAAAAATAAAAGGGAACATAGATAACTTCCTTAGAAGAATCCAACTGGCTAATAAAAGCATACTTATGAAATCCAACTTCGACCAACTTTGCTCGAGCCTTTCTCCACTACAAGCTCCCCCCCTAGACCTCCCCTACAGTATCGTCACCGCAGTAGAGTTTAATCACCAAGTTTTACTACAATTACTTGAAATGCGGTTGGATAACATCCTTTTTCAATTAGGTATGGCTTCAATTATTCCTCAAGCCCGGCAATTGGTTAACCATAGATATATTTTAGTTAATGGTCGTATAGTAGATATACCAAGTTATCGCTGCAAACCCCGAGATATTATTCTCCGTTTATTTATCTTAGGTTTAATATTTAGTCAACTTTTATTCTATTATATTATAATAGAAAACGATTGATTCATTATATGGCATGCATTTAAATCTGACAATAATGACATAATCATACCGCTTCCATTTTATTTTGATTGAAAAAACAAAGAAATAAAGAAGAGGTAAGTAAAGTTCTTATGTGTTTCCACGCCTCTTCGAGACCCCGGAAAATGGACAAATTCCTTTTCTTTTCTTAGGAACACATACAAGATTCATCACTACAAAATAGATAATGGTAACCCCACCATTAACTACTTCATTTATGAATTTCATAGTAATAGAAATACATGTCCTACCGAGACAGAATTTATTTGTTATTGTAATTTTATTACAATTTGTAATACATAATGGTAATACATATATGACCAGATGTGTATACCCACAAAGAAGAAGCAAAATCACATTTAAGAAAAAAGTACATTAAGGATTCTGGTTCACAATGACACTGGTGAAAAAAAAAAAAAAAAGAATGAGACTATCGGTAAAAAATAAATAAATATATTAAACAATCTTTGAAGTCATCATAATGGAGCTATGAGCAAAAACTTACGTGCATATTATTGGAATTTGACCGAGGTTGTTTGCCTTTGGTGTTGGAGATTAAAACATCAATATAACAACATTGAACAAGGAATAGTGTGCCCAAATGAATATGTACATAGGAGAAACAAAAGTAAATAGTTGAGCAAAAAACAGAAAAGATCAATAAACCAAAGAAACAGAAGCAATAACAATCCACAGAACTGATATCAAAAAAAAAAAAATGTGGAATAAGCATTCACAAGCAAAAGTTGTGACATATCTTTTGATTAACTTCTGTTTTACTCCCCTATTTCACATCTTTCAAGTAAGTATCTCCAATGAAAAGCTTACAGCAGAAGAAATACACCTATAAACAATGGCCATATTACAGTGCTTATATTTAACGCTAAAACATGCGGTTCTACATATATATAGACGATGACAACATCAAATATCACACCACCAGAATTATAAGATACTCCAATACAAATTGGATATGAGTGTATAAGGAGTTTTTGCATAAAAATTTGAGAATCAAAAAATTAAAAAAAAAAAAAAAAAGTTAAGGATGTCTTGATAGTTGACACACTTTGTTTAGCATCTAACAGCCAACCTTCCTTGGGGGAATTTTTTGAATCTCAAGGCAAAGATTATGAGAAGCTCAACTGCAACAACACACAAGCTAAACAGGAAGATGATTGACACTTAAAAGGCAATGGTTTATAGGCATTTTGGATGCAGGTATAAATTATAAAAATAACCTTTTATGCTCGTTAGTGTAAGCACTACAGCATCCAAGATATTACAGTTTTTCTAGCACATTTCCTTCCTTTTAATTGCAACAAAAATTTATTTCTTCTTATTCTATAACAACAAATAATATGGCTTATAACCACTTGACCTCTAATGATACACTGATGTTATACCATATATGCGTTACAAATTTCTTTGGAAAAAAGAAAAACACTATAATAAATTGACAAGTGGTATAAAGACTTCAACGGTGAATCGTCATAAAAGTAAATATAAGAATCACCAAGATTATTTCACAAGTTTCGTCCATCGAATGAGTTCACATCTTCCTAATTATATAGTGAAAAGGGCAAGTGTCCCCACTCAAAAAACTATACAATTAGGAACAAGTAATTTCATTCAATAAACAACACTTACATATGAAATCAGTGATTGCATAATTGTTTTGAACTAAGAACAAAAATAATAGTAGATATGTGAATAGCATTAAGAAAATAACTAAAGAAGCTGTTTTTAATCTAATCTAATCTAATCTAATAAAAGTAAAAATAGATATATATATATATATATATATATATAGCCGACCCCAATTAAATTGGGATTAAGGCTTATATATATATATATATATATATAAACACAAATAAGAATCACCAAGATTATTTGATAAGTTTTGTTTATCACATGATATCACATTCTTCCAAATCATAGAGTGAAAAGGACAAGTGTTTCCACTCAAAAAACTATACAATTAGGAAAACTGCCATTTCATCTAATAATTAACAACACTTAACTTCAAATGGCAAGATTCAAGAACTCAAATAATTACATATACTATATACCAGAGTCAAGATTCAAGAACTGACAAGAAAACTTCAAATGGCATAAAATTTCAAGAAAAGACAGATTGGTTATAGAACTCAAATAAATTTCCAAACTAAATTAAGGTGTGAAAGTTGCTTTAAAGACAGAACCAGACAATAATTTGAAGAACGACAAGTATGTGGAAGTCGTTAAAATACATACCTTCCGTGAAAAAGCCACCACCAAATCGTCGCATCCAGCCGCTGAAATCACCGACGACACCTCCGCCGATCATCATCAGTCTCAGGGAGGCCGATCGACGGCGGCCAGAAATGCACGCAACAACACACCAAGAACAAGCATTAATAAATGCCATTTAATTAATGCCATTATATGAACGAATCTCGTATATTGGGTTAAAGTAAGTGTAATGCATATATAGATTGTAAACATGACATGTACTAAAAGAAAAAGTAAGGACAGATAGAGGGTTTACTACGTAATATTTACTTAAAAAATATAAGAGAACATTGATATCTTCCTTGGAAGAATCCAAGTGACTAATAAAAGCATACTTATGAAATCCAACTTCAACTAACTTTGCTCCGGCCTTTCTCCACTACAAGCACCACCCCCTTACAAAAAGCCAACCCACAAAGAAGAGACAAAATCACATTTAAGAAAAAAGTACATTAAGGATTCAGGTTCGCATGGCACTGGTGCAAAGAAAAAAAAAGAATGAGAGTATCGGTAAAAAATAAATAAATATATTAAACAATCTTCATTTTTCCATCTTTTCAGGCTTTTCTCCTTGTAGCGCTTTTAGTAATCTCTGCTGGATCAAAATATCTTTCACCGTACTATGTCAGATGCTGAAATTATTTTTTCCATCAAACCGTTGTATCTGTTCAAATTTTATCCCAGACATCATCTTTACTTTTTTGTTTTTTTTTTTTAAATCTTCACCTAGTTCTGATACTAGTTGTTGAAAAAACACACACATCCACAAGACAAGGAAAAAAATTCATTAACAATTTCAAAGAGAGAAAAAAAACACCCATCCACGGTAACAATTCGGCCCACAATATTCAGTAAAAATCTTGGTAATTTTTGCAATCTTGGTAAGTAAATAAAAGATTATATTGGAGATATGCCAAGTTACCATTAGCTGTATTTATTACCATATATTAATGGGTTAATAAAAGGACTAAATGTCGGATTTTTTCTAAAAATAAAAAAATCGTTTTAGTATAGAATTATCTGTACAAAACAGACGTTATTATGCTTAAATTCATCTTTAAACTTTAAATTGAATAAAAGGAAAACAGGCAAATAATTTCTCTGTTATAGAAAGGGGAAAAGATCTTTTTAAAAAAATGTAATAATGGATTAATTTTCGCATAAAAATGGACCTTTATGATATTTTTCATCAAGCGTTTGTGATCACGATGCATGATTATTTGATCTATTTCCCCTTAACCGAAATGGTCATGTTCTCATGGTTTATCGCTTCCTTGTAATAATAATTAAATGAGAAAATAGGAAGAAATTTAACGTGTTTCAGTAAGATGTCTATATTTATAAATTAACAAAGCACATCAATCGAGTAAGTTACTCAAAATTATAATTAAGAAAATTTCTAATATAAAAATAAATACCAATAAGTCAGAAGAACTATTAACAAAAATACTTTTCCTAATATATTATCCCTAATACCCGTATATCATCTGGTTCTATTGGAAGTATGGATGGGATCTGATTCCAGTTTTATTGTGAGCAATTTAGATAAGACAGTTTGGTTCCATATTTATTCCCCGTCCCCCGTTATGATTTATTGAAAGCTGTATCATGTTTTATTTTTTATTGTGATAATGATGTATTCCTTGTTAAGGATTTTGTTATTTGTATTATGACATGTTCACTTTGACATTATATATTTATAATCTATAATCTATAATTTATAACTATATTTAGGAGTTCCTTTTGTGCACTATTCAGGTCAAGTTATTTTGTTGATTCTTATTTTGTCTTATTCTCACTCTTAAAAAATAAAAAAAATAAAAAATAAAAAAAAACTTTTTTTTAGTTTGTACTCTTTATCTTTTTTTTTTCTTTTTCTAAAATTATATATCTTCAAATACGTATAATTGAAATATTTTTATTCTAATTTATCCATGTTGAAATAATTTATTTCAGATATATCTCCAATTAAATTATTGTCATCTAATTCTTTTATTTTATTAAAGTGACCTTCAAACAAACTTTTTTTACTAATGTCTAATCATCATAATAATATAATCTTCACAGATACGTTCATATTCAAATGTGTTTTTCTTCTCATGTGGAGTCAATTTCTTTCTTTCTTTTTTTTTTTTTTCAAGAAAAATTTCATGCTATATATGAAAAAATGCTTGTCTCTCTATTTTTATTTTTTGTGGCCTTTACTTTTTTTCTTTTGTTAGAATTGTTTAGTAGCCGGTTGAGCCGTTTCATGTTGTTGTTGTTATTTTACTTCTTTTTCCCGCCATGTTTAGTCTTTTGTGGCATTAACTTTTTTTTGTATGCTAAAACCGTTTTGAGGCTTGTTGATCAGTCATTTTTTACCTACTTTTTTTTTTCTTAAAATTTATATTTTTAAATTTACTCTTTTTCTCTGCTAAATGTTTAAAAATCTATTTTATCAAAAATATTTTGTTTATTTGTCCCACTTTCGATACTACTTTTAAAGTTCATTTTTCATTAAGAAAATTTTCTTATCATCCTCTAAAATATTAGTTTGTTCCTTATGCCAAATGAGTGAATGAATGGAACTAATGGAAAACTAATTGTGTTATACCTGTGTTCTTTACAACATTCTTTCACTGTTTTGTTTCTTTTTAAAATTTGAAAATATTAAGAAATAATTGAATGCATTTTTTAATTATTTTTCTCTTAATTTTCTCAATATTAAACAACACAGTATTTTATTTTATACTTTAAAATTCCTCTAACTTTTTCCCTAATGTGTCATTCTCGCAGAAGTGTTAACTTTTTAAAGTCAATTAAAACTTTTGTTACTAAAACATAGAAAAATAATAATATCGTAAAATCAAAACTTCAACATGTGGATAAAATTTATAAGGGATTGTTTGGAGGAATTTAAACCTGTGATTTGGGTTCTGCTACATTATTTCTAATCTCACAAAGCATTTAGATTCAAAAATTTTCGCTGTCATAAAAGTTCATGTTAATAAATTAGAATCACTGACTTGAATAATTATTCCAAATAAGTCCTAAAATTACTCTCACGTGCAAAGTACGTAGCACTAATTAGTGTATATATATCTCTGTGTGAGGGCGGGGCGGGGCGGTGGGGCGGGGCGGGGCGGGTAACATCATAAACATGTAATTTTGTAAATGAAATAATTCTACCATTGGTCATTTTTTAAGAAAGTCTGATTTTGGTATTTTTCGTGTTAAAATATCAAATGAAAAATGTTTAAAACATATAATTACTCTTTGGACACTAACAACATTATTGTTAGGGATTGTTTATGGTGGACCTCAAAAAGTGCTTCATGGATGGAGCACTGTTTTTTTAATTGTTGGATTAGTTTTTTAATGGTCAGATTTGTACAGATCCTTATTAAAAATTTACAACGCGCTGCACATAACTGTTTTCGCTGTAGATCTGACCGTTGAAAAAGTAATATAACAGTAAAAAAACAGTGCTCCACCAGTGGAGTAAAAATGGGAGTTCCACCATAGAGGTTCCTTTTTCTAGGCATCGTTCATTTCACCAATTCGAGTTTTCAGTTTTAGGTTTCTACAGTAAAAAGCTCTCAGAAAATGTCACATCTAACTTTTTCTGCTACAATGAAAGCTCTCAGAAAATGTCACATCTCAGCTCGAATTGAAAACTCGAATCCGCGAAGTGAACGAGGCCTAAAATTTCAAGGTATTTTTATATATAAAAAACAGACTATTAAAATGATTTTTTTCTTTTGAAAAATTATAGAGTATTAAAGTGATGTTTCCCCTAATTTTAATAATGAGTAATCCTAAAAACCGAATTTATTTGAGATATTTTTTTTTATAAATGCTAGTCTAATTTTTTGATACGTGTCATCTTCATTTTTTTAAACAAACTCATTTAATAATAAGTCACTCTTTTTACACTTATTTGAAAAAGTACATATGACACGTGTCAAAAAATTAAGTCAACATAATGCAAATGATCAAAGTTCTCCTCCCCATATCACAATACCCAACATCACAGTTGCTAATTAATCACTTGTATGCACGAATCTTCACTTAGATACAGCCCAAGATAGTGAAAAATCATGAAATTCTACCCTAGTAGTTAACGTGTTATATGCGCGCGCGCGCAAGATATGCTTGGAATTAGAGGAACCTATTTGATAAGAAATCTCATGTAAGAAAAAAAAGACCAACGATTGATTTATTCTCGCGAACTCAATTTATTCAACTTGGATTACATTTTATATGAGGACACTGAAAAGTTAGATGGCATAGAGTGATATGTGCTTACTATGCTATAGATAATGGGTGTTCAAAAATAATAAATAATCTATTAAACCGATCCGATTCAATGTGAAAGTGTTGGTAACCGGTAAGTGCGGGTTGGAGTGGTGCCCTTGACCGATGATTACCGGGCAATTTTCTTCACTCTTCTAAAGTTTTCCGGCAGATATCATAAAGCATTGCAGACAAAACCAATATCTTCACAAAAGTCAACACCTAAAACTTTTGGTAAGACTAACAAGTCCGGTATCATAGTCATTCCTTTACAATTTTTATATTTTCAAATTATTTTAAAATTAAAAGTTTACTTTTAAAAATTAGTTAACGTTTGATTCATGAGTTCAGAATTATTTTTAATTTATGTGTGTTTTTTACAGGAGAAAATACTGTATCGAGCCACGAACATCCGAACCATGACACGAATTCTTACTTCAAATGGAGCATTAATGATTATGGTAAAAATGGATTTAACAGTTAGAATAGGATTATGTATTGAAGGACAAAATAAAATAACATATTCTATTACATTTCTAATGTCAAATAACAATTGTCATTAACATTGACGTCGGATCGGAGATGGTTGAATAATAGTATCAATGGTGACATCCCCCTTGCCTCAGAAATCAGTCCTCTCTCGATATAAGATTCAACAGATGAATGAGTTTGATGGCGCCATACCCGACATGTTTGTAAACTCAACTCAATTGAGGATGAGTGTGCCCCTTCTGCTAGAGGTTGAGATTATTACACACGGGAGAAATAACAACATGAAATGGCACATTCCCATTGGTTGGGACTCTTCTAATGCTAATGCTACAAGTCCTTATTTGAGATCTAACAAATTCCATCGTTCAATAGGTAATCCTAAAGCCTTTGAGAAGTTGCAAGTCATATACTCTACTACAATGACTTCAATAGCCCCTTGTTGTTAAGGTCTAGAATGAAAGTTCCTTCACCCCAAATTAAGAGAGAGTACAGATGTACAAATAAATGGTCATTAGTATTATACAACTACACACTAGTTGCTTCCAAGTTCCAAACGACAATGAACACAAATACATTACACACTCGATAAAAGAGGGGGGGGAAAAAAAAGAGACAGAGAGAAACGACAAAGTCTTCCCCAAACGACAAAGTCTTCTTACGACTTCTGGGCTTCGGGTCCGAGAATTCCATTAACGACCGTAGTCGCGACCAAAACCCCCAAAACCTCCGCTACAGCCACCGCCCCGGCCTGCGCCAGCCCGTCGAAACCCACCGCCGTTTCGATCTCCTTCTCCGCCGTTTCGATACCTCTCTCCGCCGCCTCTATTCCCCTCTCCGCCGTCTCGATTCCTTTGTCTGCCGCCTCGAATCCCTCCCTCACGATCTCCTCCGCCGTTTCCTCCACCTTCCGAAGCCCCTTCCTGATCCCAAACAGCCCGATGCTCTCCGCTCTGGAAGACCTCTCTCCGATCGCCGCCGCCGCCGTCACCGCCGTTAGAGAGAAAATAAGCTGTCTCCGGCCGGGAATGGCCGTCGCCGCCGGCGAGGATTTGGAGGCGCGTACCTGAAAGGAAGCGCGACGGAGAGGGATGGTTTGGAGAAGAGGAGAGATCGTGGAAGCCATTGTTTTCGGGGAAAGTTGGGTTTGTGGTGGTGAAGTATGTGAAGCAGCAAGCTTCGGTAGTTTATGTGGTTGGACTGCAAGGAGTTAGATTCTGTTGCAATCTTTTGCATGTCGAAGTTACAGTTTTACCCTTTGCTCATGTGCTGTTCATCTAACTGGTGGTCATAAGCTTTTTTGTTTGGTTTTTTTTTTTTATTTTTTTATTTTTATAAATTGTGCGGAAACCTCATCATTTGCGGCATTACATGTGAGTGCCTAGTTCTTTATTTTTTTTCCTGATAGTTATTTTTACAGTTTAATGTAATTTTTACTAGATTCAACAGTTAAATACTAGCTTTATTAGTTTGCCTCTCAAATTAATAACCGACATCAATTAATAGATGACAATTAGAATTTAAAATGTTAAAATTTAAAAAGTTCATGCTCTATCTAAAAAAAAACAAAAAGTGTGTGTAAATTTGTGTAAAAATTTTGGACAGCTTTTATTAACTGAGTCCGTTAGGATCCTATTTCTTAAAAATGAAAATTGGGGATGTAAGTTGCAAAACTCAAATATTTTGAGTGAATCAGTACAAAATCTTCAATGCAAATATTAATATCAATAGTATATCTATCACTAAAAGTATAATATGATTTGTTCTTGAAGAAAACAAAATTATAAGACTTCATTTAAAAAATAATGATTTTTTTCTCATTCCTCCCTGAACTTTTTACTCATCATCATAGGAATGATAATTTTTGTAGTGAGACATTCTCACAAATTGAGAATGGTTATTGACCAAAAACACTCACACACACATACGAAATTATGTCATATTTTGAGAAACTAAGTGTTATTTTTTAGGATAATAAGTCTGTTAGCACCTCAACTTATGATTGTGCTTCTTAAATTTAAAATTTTGACACATTGTATCCTTAATTTTTTTTTTATTTTTTTACAATTTTAGTCCTAGACAATAAAATTAATGAAAGATTTCCCACACATACGAAATTCTGCCCTATTTTGAGAAATTAAGAGACGTTTGGTTCATGGATTAAAATCATGAGATTAAAATAATTTTTGATTTACGTGTATTTTTTGTGAGAGAAAATACTATAGCGAACCATGAACCATGATTCGAATCAAGGTACGAATCCCCTTACCAAACATCATTTGTTAGGTTAATAAGTCTGTTAGCACCTGAACTTTGAGTATGATTGTGCTTCTTAAATTTAAAATTTTGACATATTGTATCCTTAAATTTTTTTTTTTTTTTTTTTTACAATTTTAGTCCTAAACAGTAAAATTAATGAAAGATTTTTTAAATTTAATGTTGATAATCACATAATAACAAAAAAATTATACATGAATAGTTACAATATAGGTAAAACAATATAATTTCTAATAGATTTTGATACAAAACAAGATTGAACCCGCAACCCCCATCTAAACCCCACCCCACCCCACCCCACCCAAATCCCCCAGTGTCACTAAATCAAAAGGTCTTAGGCTTAATTTTTAATAGATTTTGATTATATCAAAAGGAAAACTTTGCATATAACGTATTTCTTTCCTTATAATTTTAAATTATCATGTGTTAGACACATTGTTATCTTTATTAAAAATCGTTTGTAAAATTTACTCCTGGGGATTAAAATTGTTAAAAAAATAAAAATTTTAAGACTAAATATATCAAAATTAAAAATTATGAGATCAAAGTATCACTATTGACTATACTCAAAAGTTCATGGACCGAATGAAAATTTATCTCTCTCTCTCTCTCTCCTTCCTTCCCACCCCTTCTATCTCTAGGATTTCTTTCTTTTCTTTGTGCGCGGCTCGCTTTTCTCTTTTAGAGTACTATAAAAAATTTGACATTTAACGACTCTTACAAGAAAGACGGTTTATGAAGAAACCGTTGTCTAAAGTGAAGTTATAAATGCGACTTCCAAGCTGGCGGTTTTAGACAACGATTTTTTTAGAAACCGTCGTCTAATGTTCAAATATATAACGATGGTTTCTACGAAACCGTTGTCTAAAGTTGTCTTTAAACCCAGTTTCGTTTTGCGAAATTTCACTCGAAAATCAAAACACCCGCCCATTCTACCAAATCCCTCTGCCCAGACTACGCCGCCAGTCCAAATAGTGTCATTTTTCCTTTCGTTTGCCGCTTACCGACTGCCACTGTCTTGTCCACAAATCTGCGAATAACCTCAAGTAAATTTCATTAATCTTCTCTTTTTTATATAAATTTGAGTAATATGGATATTGGGTTTATGTTTTGTGGTAAAATTTGTTAGGTTGATGATGAAATTAGTTTAAGTTTTGTGGTTTTGAGTATTATGGATGTTGGATTTTTGTTGTTTGTCTTGAATTTGTTTGGTAGATGATGAAATTTGTTTAGGTTTTATAGTCTTGAGTAATATGAATGTTGAGTTTTTATTGTTTGTTTTGAATTTGTTTGGTAGATGATGAAATTTGTTTAGGTTTTATGGTTTTAAGTAATATGGTTTTTAGTATTATAGATGATGGGTGTTTGTTGTTTTATAAAATTTGTTGATGTTGATTATGAAATTAGTTTAGGTTTTGAGATATGAAGTATTATAGATTATGGGTATTTGTTGTTTGTCTTGATTTGTTAGAAATGGACTATAGTTTATGTGTTTGGGTAAATAAGATTTTTTTTTTTTTTAGTTTTGTTGTGTAGCAATGGATAGAAAATGGATGTTTGCAAATAGGTTGAGTAATGAATATGAGAAAAGGGTTGAAGAATTTATTTCCTTTGTAAAGAATATAATGAAAGGGAATATGATTCGTTGTCCGTGTGTGCAATAAGGCAATATTAGAAGACAATCAATGTAAGATCTTAGATTCCATTTGTTCTGATATGGCATTGATCGGGCTTATCAAACATGGATATGGCACGGTGAAGAGGTTCCAAGTTCATCTTCAGCGGTTAGAGGAATTGAGAGGAATGACGTTGATATTGATCATGAAGATGATGGAAGTAACATGGTTGATATTATTAATGATATGGAGGAAGAATTTGTGCACCGATCGGAGGAAGAATTTAAGAAGATGATGGATGATGCGGAGACACCATAATATAGTGGGTGTAAGAAGTATACCAAATTGTCCGGATTAATTAGATTGTGGAACTTGAAGGCATTGGGTGGGTGGTCAAATGCAAGTTTCACAAGACTCTTAGAATTTCTAGAAGATGCACTTCCGGATAATAATAAAGTGTTGAGTTCTAAGTACGAGGCTAAGAATACGTTGAGCTCTATGGGGATGGAATATGAGAAAATACATGTGTGTTCAAATGATTGTGTGCTATATGAAAAGAATGTGAAAACTTGGACCAGTTTCCGGTGTGCCACGAGTCTAAGTGGAAGAAAGGTAAGAAACCATCCAACGAGATAAAAGATGTGCCGGTGAAGGTGTTATGGTATATTCTGATCGAACTAAGATTAAAACGATTATATCGAAATCCGGAGCATGCTAAAAATTTAACTTGGCATCATGATAAGAGGATCGACGATGACATGCTATGACACCCTGTCGATTCTCCATAGTAGAAGACATTTGATGCAGAGAATCCTGAATTTAGTGCGGAACTTAGGAATGTCTGTCTTGCATTGCCGACTGATGGGATGAATCTGCATAGTAATTTTAGCAGGAAACATAGTAGTTAGCACGTCATCCTTATAAAGTACAATTTTTTTGCCAAACTTGTGTATGAAGCGGAAGTTTTTAATGTTGGCCTTGTTGATTTCTAGACCTAATCAACCAAAAAATGATATTGATGTTTATTTGACACTTTTAATTGACGAGTTGAGGAGATTGTAAGAAAGGTGGGATCGAAGATTCAAACACATCCTCATAAAATGAGCTTAATTGCAAACAATCCTTTTTAATGTTTTCTTCTTCAGCACAAATTTAAAGAATAATTAAAAAAAATACTGTTCCATTGAACCCATGACGAAAGTAAGTCCCTGTTCTTTCTTTCTTTTTGGATGAAAAAGAATATTTGATCTAACATTTCCATTGCTTGGGTGATTTGATTAACAAAATTGTAAAGCATGTTGAAATTAAATAAGCAAAGCTCAAGATCATAAACATATAATCTCAATAAAAAAGACAAGTTCAACCCACGAATTACAGAGTATAAAAAAGGAAAAAGAACAAGCTCTGGTTAATTTTTAGAACGAACCATATTCGTTTCCATTTCACGCTTTAAAGTAAGATGAATTACAAAACATAACAAGAAGATAAAATAGAGGGCTGAGATATGATGGTGATCAAGGGCTGATATTAAATGGGATATTTTTGTCATTTCATAACATAGTCAGATGGCCACCCTTTAAACGTTACCATGTCAGCTATTCCGTCCATTAATTACACGGAACTTTTATAATTAGAGGAGTGTATATATTGGGCCTATTTGATAACATTTTTTAAATAGTTTTATTTTTAGTACAAAATTAAAAATGAAATTATTTTAAAAATTATTTTATGATTGATTTTAAAATTACGTTTCATTAGTTTTTTAAGAAATTATTTTGAGTATAATAAAAAATAAAATTGTGTTTAGTTATAATTATTAATTAATTTATTATAACATTGTTGATAAATACTAAAAAATAAAAAAATAAATAAATTTTAACCGTTTTTTAATTCTTTCACAAAAATTATTCTCACACTGCTTTTTATTTTTAAAATATTTACTAAACAAATACGATTTACAGACTATTTTTATTTTCGTGCTTCAAAACTAATTCTAAATACGCCCACTAATTTTTAAAATTTAAAAGATAAATAAGTGACAACATTATTACAATTAAAGGGACAAAAATAAAATTTATCTAAAAAATAAAGACATTATTTTATCTAACTCAAATTATATATTTTTTTATAAAAATTTAAATTTAACTTTTTTATTATTATATTTTTTATCACATATTAAAGTTCACAACTCAAATTTAAAAAAAGAAGATATCTAACTAACTCACTTGTCAGAGCTGATGCATAACATTACTCATTCGATATTTCTCACCAATCTATTTTTGCGCCAGAAAAGAGGGGTTTTCATTTTTGAAGCAGAGAGAGAGCGAAAACCCCAAGAGAAGAGCCCTTCATAACTCCTGTCTTCGAAATCGAACGGAAGCCATGGCTGAAGAAGCTCCGGTGTTGGAAGTCTCTGCTGCGGAGGCGGCGGAGCAACGTGGAGCAGTCCCGAATGCCCTAGAAACCCAGGCCTCGAACGAGGCCACCATGGAATCCGGCGTACTGGGAGGTACTATGGAGTCTACTTGCAACAACGATAACGTTTCCGCTGCGACCTCCGACGCCGAAGGCGAGAAGTCACTGGAGCTCGCAGATCAGCTGATGGAGAAGGGATCCCAGGCCCTCAAGGACTCCGATTACGGCGAGGCTGCCGAGTTCTTCAGCCGTGCCCTAGTATTTTTCTTAAAGACTTTTTGCGTGAAAGGTAGGGAAATGGGAAGTGTATGAAGCTCTCTCTCTCTCTCTCTTCCCCCCCGGGGCCCCGAGTATAATGAGTTACTTTATTTTGTTTGATAATTTTGGAAGAGCGAAAATTTCCCTTTTTCTGATTAATTTTGTTTAGGGTTTCTTCTAAGATATCTATGAATGGTTATGTGGTTCAGCAACTAGTGATATTTGATTTAGGTTTTTCGACTCAGTAAACTAATGGTTCTTAGTGGAAAATAGAATGGGGAAGAGCTGGCAAAAGCGTTACGGCTATGTTTGATATATGGGTTCTGCTACTGTGTAAACTCATGGTTTTGATTTTGGTCCTACTAGAGTGTTTTTTTTTTTTTTCACAAAATATTTGAATTTCAAGATTTGAATTTCAAAGTCATAATCGAGAACCCTAATTTGAACCCTAGTTTGAACCCATATACCAAACGGGCCTCGTAATTTCCAGGAAGGGAAGCTACACAAAAAGAAAATATGTTTTTTTTTTTTTTATTAACGTTAATACGGGATCGATCGACTGATGGTAAGGTCATACTTGTTTTATATGCTGTTGAGGTTTGTGCTTTTCCCAAATTATGCTTGGTCTTCGTTTTATGTTATGATGATTAAGCTTTTGTTCTAGCTTAGCTTCAGTCCGGTCAAGTTATTCAATGCTTAGTAAGGCTAATTTGTGTACATTATTAGTGTTCTTACTTAGATGAGGCCCCTTTTCTGAAGAATGGGTAAGCGAGGATTGGAGCTCTGTGAAGAGTGGCAATGTTTGATTTTTCATATCATGTACTGTTCTAACTGGTTCCTGGCTGTACTTAATATGACCGATGTTGTTGAATTTGTGGTATTTCTTTGCGTTCATTGAGAGCAACTTCTTTAGGCACACCGCAAACTATTTTCTTTCTGTCATGTGTCTCTTGACTTTAAAGAGTACTTGTTGGTGGTGTTTGATTGGAAAATCAGGGTTGCCTGTTATGGCGAGCTTGCTCCTGAATGTGTTAATTCATACTACAAATATGGATGTGCATTGCTTTACAAAGCTCAAGAGGAAGCTGATCCCCTAGGTAATGTACCAAAAAAGGAGGGCGAATCTCAACATGAGTCTGCAAAATATGGACCTGTTAAGAGTGTCACAAATGGTGAATCTTCCACAGCTTCTGCTTCAAAGAAAGTAGGAGATGAAGAGACTGTTACTGTGAATAATCCAGAGGCCGTAGCTAATGATGGTAGGCATATCTCTCTTGCACAATTATTGCACTTTTATCTATCGAAATCTAATGTTAGAACACTTTGTTGTATCATTTTCTTTTACAAGCTAAAAAATTGGTCATGAGTTCGTGCGCTTTATTTACTTGCCTTGCTCTTTTATTATGACCAGCTTTCAATGGGAATGACCAAGAGGAAGGTGATGACAACAGTGATGATGAGGACCTGGCTGAAGGTGATGAAGATGAATCAGACCTTGATTTGGCATGGAAGATGCTAGATGTTGCAAGAGTGATTGTGGAGAAACAGGTGTCTGACACAATGGAGAAAGTGGGCATATTATCAGCTTTGGCAGAAGTTGCCATGGAGAGAGGTGCATCTATGTGCTTGATGCATATTTCTTACTATCTTTTTGGTTAATTTCAATAATTGCCTTTATGTGGACTGAGCTTGAATTTTGTTCCTTTTGTTCACTCTGCAGAGGACATTGAAACTTCTCTCAGTGACTACCAGAAAGCACTATCCATCTTAGAGCGTTTGGTTGAACCTGACAGCCGACATATTGCTGAACTGTATCCTTTTCATGACCAAGATTTGTTTAAAATTTCTCCTCCTGTACCCCTGATTGTAACTCAAAAACTTAACTGTATGATTTAGAAACTTTCGAATATGTTTATGTCTGGAGCTTGGGTCTAAGCCCGAGGAGGCCATTCCATACTGCCAGAAAGCTATTTCTGTTTGCCAGGCTCGAACGAAGCGGCTCATAAATGAAGCAAAGAGTTTAGCAGAATCAACGTCATCATCAACATCTGCTTCTGATACAGACAAACAGGAAGAGATAGAAACACTAACAGGCCTTGCCAGTGATCTAGAAAAGAAGGTAATAGGGTTGCCATTAATTTCAAAACATCTAAGTTTTTCTTTTAAGAGTTGTGAGTCAATCATGCAACTTTTGGTTTACAGCTTGAAGATTTGCAACAGCTAGTGTCAAACCCAAAGTCGATTCTTGCTGAAATCCTAGAAATAGCAGCTGCAAAGTCAAAAGGCGGTGAGATCGGTGCATCTTCTTCTGCACTGCCGCATAAGTCTTCACCGATGGATACTGCTAAAAGCAATGGAGGTTTTGACACTCCAACTGCTTCTACTGCTCAAACAAGTGGATCTTCTGGGGTCACACATCTTGGAGTGGTAGGAAGAGGAGTCAAGCGAGTGGTGATGAATTCGGGCACGGCCGAATCAAGTCCACCCAAGAAACCTGCATTAGATTCTTCAGAAGATAAGAAGTAATGGCAAGATCTCTTGAAGGTATAGGATTCAATAATGTGCAAATGAAGGAACTTAAAACTAAAGGTTTTGGATTCTGTTAATTAGGGAAACCGATAAAACTCCTTTTGCAGACAAGTCTCAGACAAGTCAACTTTTTCTATGGTAGATCTTGTCGTTTCTTGTATCGAAGGTTATGCATTCATGCAACATTGACCGTGTATTTTGCTATGCTTGTTTTGTAAGGTAGGTTATATTAATTAGTCTTCACATATTTGGTTTTATCTCCTGGCTGTGCCATCCTAACATAGCGTGGACCGGTGGATCTTCCCGCATGGGCCTTTTGGTTTTGCTATGTTAGAATTAAAGAACAAAGGTTTTTTTTTTTTTTTTTTTTTAATCATAGAAATAGAAGAAGTTGGGCTCACAAATTCACAATCCACATTGTTAGCCATGTCATTTGGAAGATTTGAAATGCTATTTAATTGACTTTTCCTTGCTTTAATATTTCAGTTCATTTAATGACATGTCGTAGTGTAGTATGACTGGTTAGACATGAAACACCAAAAATTAGACAGGTGACTTGAATCCTTTGAAATCCACGGCTTTATATGTTGGAGTCTTGCCGTCTTGGCCATGAAAACTTTATCCAAAAAATAGAACCTTGGCTATAGTTTCATTTTGTCGAGAAAGTTACCTCATATGAGGTTTGACTTCATTATTAAGCTACAAATATGGGTTATTTTTGTTTTATTGGCAAATGACTAACGTCTGATTTCAGCTGAGGAAAAGTAGGGATTTGGTCTTGTCCCAAGGGACCTTCCATCACCTCTGTGGTCCAACAGCAGAACTGCAACACAAACTGCTTTTTCTTTCTTTCTTTCTTTCTTTCTTTTTTTCCCCCAAAAACCAACTGTTTCTCTTACTTGCGATTTTAATGGGATTTACCAATTATAGTGCTCGTTGGAAAATTTCGTGAAAATATTGTTTGGGAAATAATTGGACAACTGAAAAATATAAATAAAATTGACTTGTTCATAAAAAACAGTAGCTTGAAGGAAAATCATTTCCCCTAGTTTGGAAGAATGTGATTTCAGAAATTACAGTGTTTGGAAAATAAGAAAGCAATTTTTTTTTTAAAAAAAGAGTTAATTTGATAGCATGGCCAATGCATTATCCAATGGTCATGCTCCTTTGATTGGTTAAGAGAAGCTTTTAACTGATTAAGCATATGGCATCATAATAGCATTGGCTGAGTGAAAAATCTCACATGGGCTGATCATATATATAAATATAAAGTAGAATCAATCACCATCGTTTGGAAATGCATCACCTTTTTTTTTCCTTTTTTTTGTGTGTGTGTGCGTGTGGAAATTCATCACCTAATATGGTGAAGTAACTCTTCTGTCATTGTCCAGACAATTTAATGCCCGAATATCTTCTAAAGACGTTGGAATGGTTTCCCAAGATTTTTTATCATTCACAAGTGGATCATTTAATGGAGAAATCTCTTGTTGGACTTAGTTTTTGTCTTTATATCTTGGGTACCAAATCAAGCCGACCGTGCTTGGCTTTTATCTTACAAAAAAAAAAAAGAAAAGAAAAAAAAAGGTTGGCGTGAGCATCTAATCCAACAGAAAAAGAGGGAAATGTCGGATTGATAGAATGTGTGGGTCTAAATTTTTACTTCTTATTTTTTATTAATATCTTTTTTAATTAAATAATTACATCAATTAAAACGGTATTAATTAAAAGTTGTTGGCAATAATATAGATAATACAAAGAAGAATAATATATATAACAACTTTTGCAATAACAAAATAATAAAATTGTTACAACACAAAATCAACCTTTCTACCAAACTTCGAAAAAAATGAATTGGCAAGGATGTCGAGGCACGTGAACCACGTTTTCCTTAAAACAGATTCGTCCCCTCTGGCGAGTGCTTGAGGTAACGTTGGACGTCCGTCTCTCAGGATACAACGACAACGACGGTAGCTCGAAGCACTATCGGAACCGTCCGGCGAACTAGAATTCAAATCTTCCTTCTATCACCAAAACCGAACTATAAAGAACTGAAAGAAAGACTGAAAGAAAACAAGAGAATAGAGAGAAAAGTTCTGTGAAGGTGTGTCCACAAATGGCTGGAGATGCCCATTTATATAGGCTGTTGCAGGGGATGTTACAAAGCTGGAATAATGGAGAATAAAGCCAATTATTCACGGCTTAATGGTGATTCAATTTAGAGGTTATAACCTCTGAAATTTTCAGATGCATCTGCTCCAAAATATGACCAGATTCAGAGGTTAAATGTCTATAAACTAAGTAATAATGCTGGTTATTGCTGCAGTTTCCACACTATGCACTAATGCAGAGTTAATCATCCCCTAATGTAGCAGTTTCAGATTTCAGTTGGAAAAATAAAAAAGAAAAATTGCAAAACAAAGCCCGCACGGAACGTGTTTTTTGGTCTGGAATTCGTGTCTGCTTAATGGTGATTCAATTTAGAGGTTATAACCTTTGAAATTTTCCAGATGCATATGCTCTAAAATATGACCAGATTCAGAGGTTAAATGTCCATAAACTAAGTAATAATGCTGGTTATTGCTGCAGTTTCCACACTATGCACTAATGCCGAGTTAATCATCCCCTAATGCAGCAGGTTCAGATTTCAGTTGGAGAAGTAAAAAAGAAAAATAGCAAAACAAAGCCCGCACGGAACGGGTTTTTTGGTCTGGAATTCGTGTCCGCAGGTTGCGGGTGCACACATTGGGCCCCTTTATATAGGCTGTTGCAGGGGATGTTACAAAGCTGGAATAATGGAGAATAAAGCCAATTATTCACGGCTTAATGGTGATTCAATTTAGAGGTTATAACCTCTGAAATTTCCAGATGCATACCAGATTCAGAGGTTAAATGTCCATAAACTAAGTAATAATGCTGGTTATTGCTGCAGTTTCCACACTATGCACTAATGCAGAGTTAATCATCCCCTAATGCAGCAGTTTCAGATTTCAGTTGGAAAAATAAAAAAGAAAAATTGCAAAACAAAGCCTGCACGGAACGGGTTTTTTGGTCTGGAATTCGTGTCCGCTTAATGGTGATTCAATTTAGAGGTTATAACCTCTGAAATTTCCAGATGCATACCAGATTCAGAGGTTAAATGTCCATAAACTAAGTAATAATGCTGGTTATTGCTGCAGTTTCCACACTATGCACTAATGCAGAGTTAATCATCCCCTAATGCAGCAGTTTCAGATTTCAGTTGGAAAAATAAAAAAGAAAAATTGCAAAACAAAGCCCGCACGGAACGGGTTTTTTGGTCTGGAATTCGTGTCCGCAGGTTGCGGGTGCACACATTGGGCCCCTAACCCGCCGGGACCGTGATTCGCACCCCCCACCCCTACGCATGAGAGTCTTTCTCGTATACATGCTTACCTAGACATCAAAGTGTAATCATTTATAAACACCACCAAGGCTTCATTCCTAGCCAATCTGGGATTTTTGTAATTTCTAACTATATTAACCACTTCAAGTGACATACTTAGAACATCAATTTCTCATTCACCCAATATCCATTTTTAGTGTATGAATAATCGATTTCGATCTCCTCACGACGGAGAACACAAATCCATCAAGACCTGTCCCAAAATTCAATTAGGCCATTTTCCAAAATGGGCCACAAAATGGGCATTTAATATGGCTTAACAAACCATTTTCTAACAAAAGTAAAGGGTAAAAATTCAGACTCATGCATTTTAAAAGTAAGTTCAACAAATTCTCCTAATTTACAATCTTTTTTTAGACACAACCAATTCCATTCAATACTATATTAGATTTCTTAACATTACATAGGCCTAGTTTGGTAGTGCTGTAGATTTTAAAAAAATTACTTTTAACTGTGCTGAAGGAAGAAGGAACTGTTACAAAAAGCTGCTGAGTGTTTGGTAAACTATAATTATAATAGTTGTGCTAGTTCTAAAATCAACGTAATAGCGTTTGGTAAATTATGAGGTTGAATTTCTTTGAATAGTTAAAATTACGATTATAATATTTATTGCTGCAGTTTCCACACTATGCACTAATGCAGAGTTAATCATCCACTAATGTAGTAGTTTCAGATTTCAGTTGGAAAAATAAAAAGAAAAATTGCAAAACAAAGCCCGCACGGAGCGGGTTTTTTGGTTTGGAATTCGTGTTCACTTAATGGTGATTCAATTTAGAGGTTATAACCTTTGAAATTTTCCAGATGCATATGCTCTAAAATATGACCAGATTCGTGGGTTAAATGTCCATAAACCAAGCAATAATGCTGGTTATTGTTACAGTTTCCGCACCCTACACTAATGTAGAGTTAATCATCCACTAATGCAGCAGTTTCGGATTTCAATTGGAAAAAAATAAAAAGAAAATTTTCAAAACAAAGCTCGTACGGAGCGGGTTTTTTAGTCCGGAATTCGTGTCCGCAGGTTGCGGGTGCACACATTGGGAAGTGACATACTTAGAACATCAATTTCTCATTCACCCAATATCCATTTTTAATGTATGAATAATCAATTTCGATCTCCTCACGACGGAGAACACAAATCCATCAAGACTTATCCCAAAATTTAATTGGGCCCTTTTCCAAAATGGGTCACAAAATAGGCCTTTAATATGGCTTAACAAACCATTTTCTAACAAAAGTAAAGGGTAAAAATTCAGACTCATGCATTTTAAAAGTAAGTTCAACAAATTCTCCTAATTTACAATCTTTTTTTAGACACAACCAATTCCATTCAATACTATATTAGATATCTTAACATTACATAGAATAGGATACAATTATCGTGTTGTAATATATTAATAAGATGCTTGGTATGAGTATTGTATTGAATAAATTAATACAAACTGTAAATTAATGAATGTGGCTCACTTTTTAAGTATTGTATTTATCTCATATCTATAATCCACCTCGGAGTTTTGCCCAACTGGAGATCGAGGTCAGGTTGAGTTTGAGATGAGATCATGTCAAAACCTATAATTTTTAAAAGTTCAGGAACCACAATTGAAATTTATATTTTTCACGAATTTTATTTTTTCCTTTTAATTTTTTAAAATTTTATTTTGACCTCTCAACTTTTTAAAAAATATATTTTGACATCTCAATTTTTAAAAAATTACATTTTGCCACTTATTTAGGAATATATATATATATACCTAATTTTTAGAAAACTTTACAAA